TTAGATCTGCTGAAAAGGCAACAATAGACAATTTGTGTTCTATTGCTGGTTATGACTAACATATGATGTCGTGTGGCTGCAGTAGGGCCATGTGGTTTTGAAATTCTGAAATTTTAACACTTAAATCTGGAGGGATTTCTGCCAAAAGCCACTGGGTTTAGAGATCTGCTCCTGAGTCTCTGGGATCATGGCCGTTGAGCAGCTTGATGAGGAGCCAAAGAGGCCATTCGGGGGCGATGACTTGGGGTCTCATTGGGGTGGGGAAGACAGGCCTGGCTCCACCTCCCCCCCCCCCATCCCGTGAGACCCAACAAGTTTCGTTACTGCGGGCCCAAGCCTGACTGTCCAATGGCCTCTGGAGGATGACAGCCACCATGTCACCAAGAGGGAGCAGGCAGAGGGACAGCACCCATTCCCCCCTGGGGTGGCCCGGTGACAGTAACCTACTGCGGGGTCCGGACACATTTCTGACAAAAGCCGCTGGGTTTCGAGATTTGTTTCTGAGTCTCTGGGATCAAGGCCGTTGAGCAGCTTGATGAGGAGCCAGAGAGGCCGTTTGTGGGCGATGACTTGGGGTCTCGTTAGGGTGGGGAGGACAGGCCCGGCTCCACCTCCCCCCCATCCCGTGAGACCCAACAAGTTTTGTCACTGCGGGCCCAAGCCTGAGTGTCCAATGGCCTCTAGAGGATGACAGCCACCAAGTCGCCAAGAGGGAGCAGGTGGAGGGACAACACCCTTTCCTCCCTGGGGTGGCCCAGCAACAGTAACGTACTGTGGAGTCCAGATGCATTTCTGCCAAACGCCACTGGGTTTTGAGATTTCTTTCTGAGTCTCTGGGATCATGGCTGTTAAGCAGCTTGATCAGGAGCCAGAGAGGCCATTCGTGGACTATGACTTGGGGTCTCGTTGGGGTGGGGAGGACAAGCCCGGCTCCACCCTCATCCCGTGAGGCCCTTTGTGTCTCATCACTGGGGGCCCAAATGTGACTATCCAGTGGCCTTAGACGGATGGCGGCCACTGGGCCGCCAGGGGGAATAGGCCAAGGCACGAAACCTATTCCCACCTGGGTTGGCCCAGCACCGGTAGCCTACTGCAGAGACCAGACGCATTTTTACCTAAAGCCACTGGGTTCTGAGATTCGTTTCTGAGTCTCTGGGATCATGTCCATTAAGCAGTTCAATCAGGAACCAAAGAGGCCTTGCCTCCAATTATATAGCTGAGCCGGAGGTGGTTTGTGGGTGTGTTTCCCACATACCTAACTTTTGGCCGTTTACTTTCTTGGTAAACTTTGCCCCCAGTTTTTGGGGTCTGGCCAAAGGCACAGCAGCAATTTTGGGGTATCTGGAAGTCTGAAGGCGCCATGAGGCTGCTGATGCACTCGCCTCACAGGTACAGATTGACCTGCTGGCGGCACCATACCCCCCACAATAAGGATTTTACTCTAACAATAAGAGTTTACTCTTTGGAATAATTAATTGCATATTACATCTTTTTGTCTAGTGATAAATACTAGTAAAATTTTGTTTAGATTAAGTATTTCTTGCTCTATTAAATGTTTGATATACTATTGTTAAGCTAGTACATAATTGTAGATATATTTAATTGCCCTAAGGGCCTGAGTGATAACACAGGAGAGATATCACTTGCCTTGAATGTGATGGGTTCTAGTTCAATCCCCAGCACTACATATGGTCTCTGAGCACAAAGCCAGGAGTAGCCCTTTAACCACCCCCAGATATGGCCCCAAATTCCCCAAAAAAATGTTCCACAAAATATGCCACCTTATTTTTAAGCTTGCTTATAATTCCAGGCCTATATCTGGGTTGTTTTGTTTTGCTTTGTGGCCATACATGGCTGTTCTTAGGGCTTATTCCTGTCTCTGCACATGGGGATCACACCTAGTGGGACTTAGGGGACTTATAGGGTATTGGGGATTGGTAACATGCAAGACAAATGCCCTTACATGGCTCTACTATAGTTCTGGCTCCCCACAGGTCTATGTATAGTAGAGTATTTTTTAAGAATATTATTTTCTCATTATGCATTGTACTGACATCTGAAGAAAAACAAAGCCTTTTTACTTTATTGTTTTGGGGCCAACCCCAGCTATGCTCAGGGCTTACTCCTCCCTCTGTGCCTAGGGATCACTCCTGAAGGTACTCAGGGATCATGTGTGGTGCCAGGAATCAATCTGTATCAGCTGTGTGCAAGGCAAACTCCTTAAACCCAGTATTTCTCTAGCTGTAAGGTATTTTTATTTAGTCACCATGAAATTACAAACTTATTCATGACTGGGTGTCAGGTGTACAATGACTCACTACTGTTCGCTTCACCGATGTCCACTTCTCTACCAAAGTCCCCTTACCCCCATTTCCCTCCCACCCACCAGTCTGCTTCTCTGAGAGGTGCTTTTTTTCTTTTTGGGTCACACCCGGTGATACACAGCGGTTACTCCTGGCTTTGAACTCAGGAATTACTCCTGGCGGTGCTTGGGGGGGACCATATGATGCTGGAAGTCGAACCCGGTCAGCCGCATGTAAGGCAAACGCCCTACCTGCTGTGTTATCATCATTCCAGCCCAGAGAGGTGCTTTTTTATTTTATAAGTTTTTGCACTGTGATTTTCAGTACTGTTGCTGATAGGGTTTCCATACATAACATTTTATCACCTTATCCCTGAAGTATTTTTTAACCATTTTTGTTTGGGGCCATACCTGGAGATGCTCAGGGGTTACTCCTGACTCTACACCCAGAAATCATTCCTTGCTGTGTTCAGGGCACCAAATGGGATGCTGGGGATCGAGCCAGGTCAGCCTGCGTGTAAGGCAAGAACCCTATTCACTGTACTGTTGCTCTCCCCCCTGAAATATTTTTAAATACAACTTTTCATAATTCCTAATTAATTTTCTCAACTATTTTATAATATAAAGTTTTTTTGAAGATATACTTTAAATGGGGGCTGGAGAGAGAGCACAGCGGGTAGGGCGTTTGCCTTGCACGCAACCGATTCAGGTTCAATTCCCATCATCCCATATGCATATGGTCTCCCAAGCTCCTCCAGGATTAATTCCTGAGTGCAAAGCCAGGAGTAACCCCAGAGCATCTCCAGGTGTGACCCAAAAAGCAAATAAATAAATATATATATATTAAATGTACATATATACACAGATTTATTCTTTGCTGATCATCTGTGGTCTGTGTTTAAGACAGGTTTGTGTCATTGAAAAGGGGCTATTGACATAAATGATAAAAAATTACATGATATTTTCACATTGAGATTTAATAGAATGTTGGGTCCTAACATGTTTTTAGGTGATCTGAGATCATACTACAAGCCCCCCCAAGATCAGAGCCAGGAATAGGCCCAACACCTCTTTGCTGTGGCCCCCAGACCAAAAAAAGTTATATAAATTATGAGTTAAATGATAGAATAACTTACTATTCAACAAACATTAAAACATCTACTAAATTAGAGTATGCTTCATAGGAGATAACAAAATAAATAAGCCATAGTTTCTTTTTTCAATACAGAAAAAGACTTAGGTATCGTCGTTTGGATTTTGATTCTTTTCTTCTTAGTTTAATTACATTGGTGGGGCTGGATGGGTAGAGTGGAGATTGGGCCATACTTCGCTGTGCTCAGGACTTAGCTCATGACTCTCCTCAGAGATCATTCCTGGAAGGGTTAGGAGGACCATGTGTGATGCCAGGGATCGAATCTTGCTTAATCACATGAAAGGCAAGTGCCTTATCTGCTGAACTGTCTCTCTGCCTTATTTAAATTATTTAAAAATTCCAAATTCTTCCTTCCTTGATGACAATACTCTTGCAGAATTATAACATTTTGAAATATTATCTTCTGCCTTGAACAGTGTTAGTCTTTTCCTTTTTATTTATAACCCTTTACTCACTAACATAATACTGCAGTCACTATAACATGATAACATTTTATGTGCTGCAAGCGATCTTCCTTATTCCTTCTGAAATTTTTTAAAAGCAGGTTAATGAAGACTTACAAGTTTAATTTTGACTTCTTAGTACTGGTTTCAATGAAGAAAGTTGTCTTTAGAAGCTGGAATCTGTTTTTGCAGAATTGGTTGAGCATATGCATAAAAGTCATTTATAACACTTTCTCTTAAGTAATAATTAAGTTATCAGACTCTTAATTCTAAGGACTATATTTCTTTTGATTAGGAAAATTTTCATATATATGCAAAATAGGAAGAATTGCATAATTCCACATATTCTCCATCAGCTGATTCTAACAGTTATCAAGTAAAATATTTAACAAATATTTCAGTCAAAAGTTCTATTTCTTAGCTGAGATCAGCACCAGGAGGATTACTCCATAGCTTAGTGGCCAGCCAGGCATTCTAGAGGAAAGGGCAGCTCAGATAGAGAAGGGAGCACCAAATAAAGGGTGTTTGGAGGATCCTCCCAGGAGGGGAGATGCATGTCGAAAGTAGACTGTGGACTGAACATGTTTGCCATCAATGCCTCTTTTGCAGACCACAACACCCAAAAGGAGAGAGAGAACACAGGGAATTGCCCTGCCACAGAGGCAGGGGGGATGGGGGGATGGGGATGGGGGGGATATTATCCATGGTGGTGGAAAATGGGCACTGGTGGAGGGATGGGTATCTGATCATTGTATAATTGAAACCCAAGCACAAAAATTGTAAATCTACAACTGTACCTCATGGTGTTTCACTAATAAAAAAAAAATTAAAAAAAAAGTTCTATTTCTATTTCTCTATCAGGTCTTCACTTTTTTTATTCCCTTTTGTGGCACTAGGTAGAATCCCACTTTAATATTTACTCCTTAAATTTTAGTGCTTTTAATTTAAGTTGATAGTCAAAGATCTATATAAATGTAAAATTATTTTTAGAACTTGCTTTTAACTTAGTATAAGATAATGCATGACTTTGTAACTTATTTTAAAGATGGAAAGATTTAAATATACTGGATAGAATATATTTTGTTCTGTCTTTGTTTTTAAGGTTTGGCTTGAGCAACAAGTTTGATACTGAATTTCCCTCAGTTCTAACAGGGAAGGTAAGTGAGAGTTTGCTTTGAACTTTTCAATTCTAAATGCACTGTTTTATAGCTCTTTTTCTCAGTGTTTTGTCAAATGTTCTGACTTGAAGTCTAATAATAAGAGGCCAGAATGTTTTAAGTACTCTATTTTTTATTTTTTAAAAACATCTTAAATTGTCTCACCATTAGATGTGATACATAGTTACAAAGTTGTTCATGATTGGGTTTCAGTCATACAATGTTCCAACACCCATCCCTTCACCTGTATACATTTCCCTTCCCCCAGCCTGCCTCTATGGCAGGAATTTTGGAATTTTTCTTTTCTCTCTCTCTCTCTCTCTCTCTCTCTCTCTCTTTCTCTCTCATTCTTCCCCCTTCTCTCATTCTCCCTCTCCCTCTCTCTCCCTGCCTCTCACTTCCCCTCTCTCCTTCTTTTCCCCTCTCCCTCTCTCCCTTCTGGGCATTATGATTTGCAATACAGGTACTGAACTTTACCTACTCTCAGCACTTAACTGTCCAGAGAGATCATTTCCAGTTATCATTGTCATAGTGGTCCCTTGTCAATTCTGACTCCCCACTCTACTTGTGGCAAGCTTCCAAGAGTGGAACCATCCTCCTGGCCCATATTTCTACTGAAGGACTATGTTTTTGAAGATCACAAAAAGTGATCGGTTTCTATGACTACTGGCTTATAAATAGGTGTTTTGTTCATTGTCCTTTAATGCCAAGTGTTACTTACTTACTGATCAATTCTTGAGTTTTGCCTTTTTTCTCAGCACAAATAGCAATAATTTTTGCCAGTTAGGTCAGTAATTTCCAATTATTTAAAGTTAGCAAACTTATTATTGTTTAACTTTGTATCTCTCTATTGTTTTTAGAGTGTCCAGGTGGTATGATTTATTTTACATTAAAAGAATCAAAAATTTTAGTTAGATATTTTTTGTCTTTTAGTTAACTTGAATTTCTAAAATTTGACTCTGCAGTAAATTATTACTTTCTGTTTCCTGATTCTCTAACATTCTATAGTATCTTCTCTCATGGAAACTTAATCTTCAAATACTTCCTAGGATTTAAAACTGTTTGGTAAATCACTTTCTAAACCTAGATGGGAAGGCTTTGACCAAGGCAAAAAAGGCATCTACATTGTTGTTACTCAAGGAAATGTAGAAGAATAAAAATAAAAGCAAAATACTACAAAATACTAAATTTCTGAGCAGTTGAAATGAAGGTTTGGGGCTAAAATAATTTCACTATTTGTTTTTTGAATCCTGTAAATTAACCTCATTATATTTAATTTTGGTACTAGGATAATGCTGTCACTGTCACTGTCCTCCCATTGTTAGTCGATTTTCTCAAGCGGGCCCAGTAACGTCTTCATTGTGAGACTTTGTTGTTACTGTGTTTGACAATATCAAATATGTCACAGGGAGCTTGCCAGACTTTGCTGTGCGGGCGAGATACTCTCGGTAGCTTGCTGGGCTCTCCAAGAGGGGCGGAAGAATCGAATTCGGGTAGGCCATGTTGGCTGCGTTCAAGGCAAATGCCCTATCTGCTGTGCTATCGCTCCAGCCCAGGATTTGTCATTATAGATTTTAGTAATATTATCAAATTTATTCTATTTTCTGTATAATTATGTTATCTTTTATTGATTCTTCTTATGTTAGTGAGAAAAGCAGTGTACCTGTATAGTATGTGCAAGAAAAGGGAGAAATAAGCAAGTTAGCAATTAGATAAATTCGGTAATGATATGCATGAAGCAAACAAAAACTTTTTGCTTTAAGAGGAGAAGGAAAGATGGAAAGCAAGGTTAAGGATGAGACTATTTTCTGAATATCTTTTAGTATTGTTCTGGTTTTTAAACCATGTGACTATATTAACTTTTCAAACCTTAATTAAATTTTTCGTCATTTTAAACTCCTTGAAAATGAGATAAAATATTTCTGCAAATGCAAATCTTAGTTTATGTGTCAAGTCATATCAATATTTGTCATAGTTCACATTTTGTCATAAGTAGATAATGTCTTGATTCATTTTCTATCTGCTAATCTCCTTACTTTGATCTATTCCCAAACTTCTCCACAGTCTCATTTAGAGGTGGAGGAAGATCTATTTGTTTTTTCAAGAGTTATTGCTGAGATCATAAGAAATTCTATATAATTTAACTAAAGAAATTTAACTCTGGAAGGTATTTTATACTTTGTTTTCTACTTGAATAATGGGAGATAGCTGAAAACAGTATGGAGTAGTTAAACAAAGACTGAAGTTCAGTTTGGTTAAATTCCAAGTTATATTACTGCCTTTGTAACCTTGATCCTCAATTCTCATATGAAAATTAGAGTTGCTGATGATACTTTAATTCTTATTGCAAAGACTGAATGGGAGAGCATGTATAAAGCTTCTAGTGTGTGATCAGATATTTACTAGCATTGGGGGCTAGAACGATAATATAGTAGGTAGGGTGTTTGCTTTGCACAGTTTGACCTGGGTTCAATCCCTTGCCACCCCATATGGTCTCTTGAGCCTAGCCAGGAGTGATCCCTGAGTGCAAATCCAGGAGTCAGCCCTGAGCACCACCGGGTGTGGCCCAAACCTCTCCCTCTCCTCCCCCAAAAAGATATTTTCTAGTATCTTAAGTTAGTTTCTGGTTGTTCTTGACTGTTCGTTAATATATTCCAATTTCACCATGACTTTATTTCCAATTTTCTTTACTCACCAGTTTCAGTCTTTTGATGCATTTACATTTTTCTGAGTAACTGTTCTCTGGTTCCACCAAAAATTTGTTCTATTGGTTGCTGTCCTTCTTCCTCTCCTGAGATTATTCCATATGATAAGAAATGATAGAGGGGGGCTGTGACTGAATTAACATTAGAAAATATGTGACCAATTGACATTTTAGAAGACAAAGAACCTTCCAGTTTACAGTTTACAATTTTGGCCTTACACATCTGAATGTGCTCTACCTTTTAGTCTTGATTATTCTGAATAATTCACCAATTAATACAGACGTAGCCTACTAAGTATTAAAAAAACATGTCAGAATTTTAAAATGCTAGGTAATAGGCAGAACTGTTTTGTTGCTCTGTTTTTCTGTACTTGTTTATGCAATGATCTTTTTACACAATAAATTATTGCAAAACAAAAATGAGATGATAAAATGGACTTTGTTTTAAAATCAGAGTATGCTTTGTTTTAAAATAATTTAAAATTAATAAATTATCTAAAATATAAAAATGCACATACCTTTTTACAAATTCAATTTTCTAGCATAATTGAATTCCAAATAAGTTCCAAAACAAAGCAAAATTATACAGAGTGAATTCTGAAAACCTAAAAAGTATTTTGACAAGCTGTGTCTCAGTATTTTTGTGCTTTATATGTTAATACTTTTAATGGAAAATTTATATTTGATATAAATAAAATAAAATATTAACAGTTTATTTTATAGTAAGAGCAACAAAATTGTTTTCCTCATTACACTATAGATAATCTTTCCTGACATGATGAGATTTATTAAATAGGTATGTACACAATGATTTTGGTCATTACAAAATGAAAGAATCATAGAACTTTAGAAAAGAAGTAAAAAGCTTCGGTCTTCATATTGAAACAATGAAAATAATATTATGGGGACAGTAGTGTACAGTTTTAGGAACCGTAAGCCTTGAAATTATTCACTATTATGATCCAATATGGGCTGGAGCGATAGCACAGCAGGTAAGGTGTTTGCCTTGCAAGCGGACAATATGGCCAACCTGAGTTCAATTCCTCCACCCCTCTCGGAGAGCCCGGCAAGCTGCCGAGAGTATCTCGCCCACACAGTGAAGCCTGGCAAGCTACCCGTGACATATTCGATAAGCCAAACACAGTAACAATTGTCACAATGGATACGTTACTGGGCCTGCTTGAGCAAATCAATGAACAACGGAAGGACAGTGACAGTGACAGTGATCCAATATAACAAATGTTTTATAAAGTTATGTTCCCTACAATTGAAGACTAGTCAGTTCTGCTGGGTTTTGTGTTTACCATCTTATATCTTCTTAGAAGATATTTTGACCCTTTTCCCCCACTCTTTTTTTTAACTGAATCACCATGAGATAGACCACCATGAAGCTATTATTGAAGGGTTTCAGTCATACAGTGTTCCGACCCCCATCTTTTCACCAGTGTACATTTCCCACCACCCATGTCTCCAATTTCCCTGCCACCCCAGCCCTACCATGCATACCCCTTCCTGCCTCTATGGAACGTACTTTCTTCTTTCTCTCTCTTTTGTGTATTAAGGTCATTGTGTTTGTTTGTGACATTCAGTATTTTTATCAGGAAGGGACAGCTAGAATAGTTTTTTTTCACTGGGTGGTGGCTTTGGGGTGTGGATGTGATTACCTGGGCTTCTGAAAGTACAGGGAGGTGGGGTGAGGTAGCCCATCCCTACCCTGAGAAAGTCTGGAGATTTCAATTACAAAACCCACATACCCGAATTTTCAGCAGATTGATATCTTGGTGAGATTCATCTCTAGACGGTGAAGTCAGGCAGGGGGTGTGATGGTGATATTGGATTGTGGGAACAAGCGGCTTCCAGGGGCTCTGATTGGGTGGGCACCAGGCTAACCCGCCCCCCTCCAACCTACCCCAATCTGTTTAACCTTGTGTGGGTCTCAAGATTAACTGCAGCTTTTGATCTCTTTTGAGATTTATTCATAGATCTCTGAAGCAAGTCCAGTAGAAGAGCTTAGTATGGTGGAGCTAGAATTGGTTCATGGGGGTGACTGCCAGTGCTTCGAGGTGTATAGGGAAGTAGGGGCAGGTAGCCTTTCCAACTTGTATGGCAGAGCTGGAGGTTGTTTGTGGTTTTGGCTCCTACCTACCTAATTTTTTTATATTTACCAATAAGTTTTATTTTATTGGTATTATTTAACTGAAGAACAGAGTCGGAAATATTTTGTATATTTTACATAGAACTTAAAAACCTTTCTGTAGAATATAAATATATTCAGAAATATATTGAAGAAGTAACA